GGGGGGCGATCCCCGTAAACGCCTCCGAACAGATCCGTGAACGGATCAGGGCGGCTCGCTGGTTACTGCACCCTCCACACCCAGACATACTTAAACCCTCTCCCAGGTATTTAAATACCTCCCCGGTATGGGTAGCTCCTTGGGAACGCCCGGCCTCCCATTTTCTCTCTTGCTCTCTCTAATATGACGAGCGGCCTTGGAATGCGGAACCTGTCCTCGACTTCGGCTCTCGTCTAGCGATTTGGCCTCGTTAGTTCACATCTTTTCTGACCTGCGTCCGGGGCTCCGCGGAGGGTCCGTTAACTGCGTCAGCACTGCGGGCTTTACAGAATGATTCCCGTCCTTGCTTCTTCGCTAGGAGTGACGGCCTCGCCCCGCTCGGCGGGGTGCTGGGGGGGGGAGGGGGCCGTCTTCATGGCGGCAGGGCGAGGAGGCTGGGACCCCCACCCCTGCAGAGTGAGGAGTGACCGCGGGGCAGCTGCAGAGGTGGGGGGAGGGATTTAAAAGGGAGTGAGGGAGAGAAGGGGACGTACAGTACTCGTGGCTCTTGTAGGTGAGGAACTGATGTCAGGGATGATCAGTGAGGCTGACTGAACTAGGCTGCGCCGGCTTTCTGACAGGCAGGCCGTACATTCTTTTCTTTTCCCCCGGCTCGACGCAGGGCGAGGTGAAAGGCCGCCCCCCATCATTCCCTCTTCCTTTCCTCCCGCGCAGGTGAGGCCCCTGAACGAGCGGCTGAGGGAGGTGAAGGGGGCCAAGATGGCGGTCGACGTGGTGCAGAGCGCCTCGCCGCCGCTGAAGAGGGCGGTGCAGTTCGTCTGCGGGAACGGGCTCGTCTGCGAGACCCTGAAGGAGGCGCGCCAGATCGCGTTCGGGGGCCCCGAGCGCTTGAAAGTAAGCGCCCTGCACCCCTTGAAGTTTTTTTTCAACAGAAGTCGAACTCCCTTTGTTTTTAGGAGCGCCCGTCTCTAGACAGAAGTGTGAAACTTGTTCAGGTATGTTGCCCTGGGTCCAGCACCTGGGGTGCTGTCTGTATGGAGTTTGCGTGTTCACCCCGCGTTTGCGCAGGTTTCGTGGGTTTCCTCAGAGTGCTCTGGTTTCCTCCAGCGGCCCAAAGACATGCTGGTAGGTTAGTAGCTGTTGGATTCTGGGAAGATTGGCCTTGGCGTGAGGTTGTGTGTGTGTGTGCCCTGTGATGGACTGGCATCCCGTCCAGGGTGTCCCCTGCCTTGTGCCCGTTGCTTTCTGGGATGGGCTCCGGCTCGTCCGTCACCCTGAATTGGAAGAGAAGGGGCGCAGGGAAATCAGGTTTGTCTTCGTAGAAGCCTGCCCCATTCCTCGGCCCTTACGAACGTGCGTAAGGAGGTGGGAAATCAGTGTGATTGGCCCGCAGAACAATCGCTGTTCAGGTATGTTGTGATGCCTGGAAGACACGTGAACTCCATAAAACAAGGCTTTATTTCTGAGACCCTTCATCATTCTTCTTCGGCTTAACCCAGGGACGATACCGGGTTATAAACAGTGTGTGTGTGTGTGGTTATTGGAATAGCTGAAAGAGTTAATAAACAGCGTGTGTGGTTCTCGGAACAGCTTTTACCGACCTCGCCCTGCTTTCGCGCAGACCGTCGCCCTCGATGGGACGCTCTTCCTGAAGTCCGGGGTGATCTCGGGGGGCTCCAGCGACCTCCGCAGCAGGGCGCGGTGCTGGGACGAGAAGGAGATGGACGTGCTGAAGGAGCAGCGGGACCGGCTGACGCGTGAGCTGCAGGTGAGTCCCGGCCCGCACCAGTCACCTCTCTCCTAGACACCTCACCAGTCACCTCTCTCCTGGACACCTCACCAGTCACCTCTCTCCTGGACACCTCACCAGTCACCTCTCTCCTGGACACCTCACCAGTCACCTCTCTCCAGGACACCTCACCAGTCACCTCTC